GAGGAAACGAGGCCAGCAGGCAAACACGCAGAGCCTCCATTCAAAGAGCCCAGCACTAAGCTTTAAATGCCCATTCCATTTGTCTCCTGACAGCATGGGGACAGACTCCTGAACTGGTGAAAAGTCAGTCACCTCCCCAGACCTATCTCCAGCCCTCCAGTCTCCACAAAATCCCCACATATCTACTAAGCTCTTCCTGGATTCTCTACCTCGTACATGCCATTTCCTGTCTGCACTGCCCTCTGATGAGCAGTCTTCCCAATTGCGAGCTCTTATTTAAACGTTAAGGCCCAGCTCAAACATCTTCTCGCTGATGCCTCTCCGGACTCTTCTAGCAGAAATACTGACTGATTCCTTTGAGCTCCCGGTTTTCTGCTTAGATCCCTTTCTCCAGCCAACACACTCTGATGATCTGCTCCCACATCCATCATGTGCCCTGGACTGCCCTTGATGGTGTGGACTGCATCTTCTTCTTTCCGTCCCTGGCACCTAGCATGGAGTTACTCACTGCACACACATCCCAAGGCCACCTTAACACGAGCTTCCACCACCACCCTCTTCTGATGCCCAAACGCCCCTTACAGTACCAAGCAGGATTTCACATAGACTCAAAGAGCTGGAGACATTTCACAGAGAAGACAGCCCATGAGCTAAACAGGGTGAAGTGTGTCTCCCCAGCACCAGGCTCACAAAGCAGGAGCCAGCCTCATTAGAAATCCGCCTGCTGGTTAATTAAGAGGTGCTCCTCACAATGGCAGCCAACCAGGTATGACATCAGAGGCCTGAGGCCCTGGCACTGGGCCTGATACCCCCTTGACCCCACCACCCTTGAGCTAGTCTACATTCTGAGCCAGGCTATAAAAGCCTCAGTGCAAATACAAGTGATATGCAAAGATTGTGGGTCTGACTTTTACTCCAGTCATTAATATCAGGAGTGGGGGCTGTTTCCGGTGACCTAGGAGAGGGGATAATGCCAGGAAACAGAAAGAGACTGGTGTCTGAAGGGGAAGGCAGTACCGCAAGGGATCGGAAGGGAATCGGATGTGTCGATGGATGGAAAGTTCTCACCTCACTCCACCCTCACAAGCAGCCCTTACTAGTGTTTCCATGGCCCCTGAAAAAACCGTGAGGCCTTGCACACTCCATGTGACCTCATCCCACTGAGGTTCTGGGGACAATCTGCCAAAACAAGCAAACTCGAGGGGATCACAGCTGTGTGGCACAGCTGTGCAGGAAGCTGGTGTACACAAACGTGCAGGTATTTGTGCAAGGCAGTCTGGCCTGCAGAGCAAGTGGCCCAGGGACTAGCAATGAAGGGGCTCACTTTCAAAGCTGGGGCTGCATCTGGGGAAACAAAAGATCCCAGGTTGCCTTGGGGATCAGTTGTAACCTAGTATCCGGTGTCAAACACAATTCACATCAGTCAATAACTGGGTGCAAATCCACTTCCCCAGCGTACCTTATTCAATTCCCTTAATACACTTTCCTTAAATAGATCAATGTTCTTTGTAACACTTGGAGAGATGGCATCCTCTGTATCTGATCAAATATAAGGTAGGAAACCCAGTTGATGACCTTCATTCAGCCATCACTCAATGATTGGTTTAACCAATATCTATGGGCAAGGTGCTCACTGCAAAGGTCACATGCCTGGGACAGACAAGGCTAGGGTTACAGAGCTCCCAACCCTCAAGTCTGTACCTCTGTCCAGGCAGTATGTATACTGAGTTCACCTTCCATGCCAATACTCAATGCTGTCCTGGCCCTCTCTAGGCACAGTTAGGCTCTAATTAGCAGCAAGGTCAGTGCTGCTGGCCCAGCACTGTGTGAGGGGATTGACTCAAATGTCCTGCCCCTCTGTGGCTGGGGGCACAGTAAGGAGGAAAGCAAAGGAGCAGGAGTTTGAAAAATAACGGCACAGACTTCAATCACAAGTGTGGTGCAGGGGGAAACCCAGTGGCTTCAAGCTTGCGTGAACACATCTGGCAAACCTCAGCTTGCATGTACTGAACATAGACTACATGATGGGCACTGGGCTAAGCCCTCTACCTACACAGTGGAAGGAGTGTGTGTTCTCCTACTACCACTCAATAGCTGTGTAGCTCGGGGCAAACTACTGGGCTCTCTGGGCCTCTGTGTGTGTGTGTGCGTGTGTGTGTGTGTTTGTGTGTGTGTGTGTGTGTGTAAAATAGGGCAATACCAGTACTAACCTTAAAAGGGCATTATAAGGATTAAATGAGCACAGGCTCATAAAATGCTAAACTTGAACCATGTCCTGGCACAGCGTAGGCACCCAGTATTAAGATGAACAATTAGGGACCAGCAGTTGCGTAATGGCTATGTCACTGGACTCCCATGTAGTCAACCGCGGTTCGCATCCTGGACCCGGTGGCTTAAAACTCATGCCAGGCGCATGTACATGCGTGCCCAAGATCCCAAGAGGAGAATGGAGGAGTGATTTCTCGCTGTCTCTCTGTCTCTATCTGGCAAGCGCACATGCCCTGTAGCAAAAACCTCTCAAAAAAAAAAGATGAACAATTACGAACCCTTAGATAGCAGGGAAGACAGTCTTTGTTGTCTTATTTTACCACTAAGGCTTTGAGAGACTGAGTCAACTCACCCAAGGTCATGGAATTAGTAAGTGGCAGAGCTGGGATTCGAATGCAGGCCGCGGAGGGCTGACAAGGTGTCCCTACACAGTGCAGGAAGTACTACCAGAGAGAGATACTGAAAGAAAAAAGGGGAGGTGCCAGGGCAGCAGGGAGCAACAGAAGTGTCTGTAGGAAATGAAAAATACCTCACCCAGAAGGGGATTTGAGCTCTAGTCTCAAATGATGTTGAGGAATTTGCCAACCAAGGCAGGAAACAGGGCATTCCAAAGTCAGAACCTAGAATAGCCAAAGAAGAGTGAGTTGGGAGGTTCGGGAGGAACGCAGAGAAGGTGATGCAGGGGAGGCTGGGAAGGTCAGCTGAGGTCAGCTGTGAAGAGTCTGATGTGCAAGGTCAGAGGTTAGATTTTATTCTGCAAAACAGTGATTCCCAAGCTGTAACATGCAGAGGAATTATCTCCAGTGCTTGCAAAACACCTCCGCAAGATTGCTATCCCTTCCTGTCAGCAATGGGGGCCTAGCAAAGGCATCGGGGCCATAAGGCCCGCTGTGGATTTAGCAGCAGCATTCTAGCACTGGAAGATGTGTGGGAATAGTGGGCAATATGATGGCCGAACTGGTGAGATAAAAGGATGAGAGTGGGAAATAGTGGCACTTCTCATGAACTGGTACATGAAACCAAGATTTCTCAACCTCAGCACGGTTACCATGCTGGATCAAAGAAATCTTCCCTATGCGGTGCTGTCTGGGGCCACTCGGGCTCAGCCAGGCTTTGGGCCTCAGCTGCTCATTGCCCAGATGAGTATCCCTGGCCTCTGCCCATCTGACGCACAGCATGCTCTCCCCCTTACATGGCGATGACCAAACACATCTCCAGTCATTGCCAGATGTCACTTAGGCAGGCAAAATCAAAACTCCAGTTAAGAACCATTGCTTTAAATACTATCCTCTCTACACACTAGGGAATCCAGCTACAGAAGGGGTACTGAAGGGTCTCAGCCAGGATTCAAACCCTGGTGGTCTAGCTCCAGGGTCTTCTAGCCACCCACCAAGCTTAACTGCCTTTCAAGGAAGAGAGACTTCAGCCAGCCTTCTGAAGAGTGGGAGATTTGGTGACACACCGGATGACAAGGAGGTTCAAAGGTAAAACAGTGCTTGCCACTGAACTATGAGGATAGAAGTTAAGTCCTTTGGATCTAGGATGTATATTTACTCGGCCCAGCAGGTGGCATGAAGGTTAAGGGGGCTGAATCCCAAATGGCCTACTGAGCAGAGAGAGTACTGAATCAGCCGCTTGAGGGACACACAGGCCAGCCCAGAATCTGAGCGAACTGGGGAGAGCGGATAGAGGAGTACGGAGTGGCCCTCTCTCCTGGGGTAGGGGGGATGATTTCTTTCTCTCTCTCGCTCGCGCGCGCACGCACATACCTTATAATAAACTTTTAAGTATTTGCTCAAAAGGAAAAAGTCTGGACTTCTGTGGCGTGAGCCAGCAGGAGGTGGCGGGTTCTTGCTCAGACTGAACAGAGAACCAACCCTCTGTAGGGCAGGGTCTGGGCGATGAGCAGCAGAGGCCCAAATCCTGGCTGAGCCCTTTCCTAGCTGCGTGGCCATTACTTAACCCCTCTGCGTTTCATTTCCCACGTTTGTAAAATAGGGATGGGAGTCCCTACTCAGGCTTCACGTGAGAACTCAGGCCGTTGCTAAGAACGAAATAGAAAGCTAGAGCGATGTGCTTGCCCTTCCTCTCCTTCCTAGTCAACCGGCCTCCTTATCTCCGTGCTCCACATGCGTCCCATATACAATGCCCCCCGCCCCCATCGTCGGGACGCTCCCCGCCCCCGCTGCCCCCAGGACGCAGCGCTGCGCCCTTCTCCACCAACAGAGTCCCACTGAAGCTTTAGGGGGCGCCAACAGCCTTTTCGCTTTCCAATCAACTCTGACTTCGGAGTCTTGGGGGCCGCCAAAGGCTCGCAATGAACTGGGTGTCTCCGAAAGGAGCCAGG